GACCGACAGGACGGCTTGTGGCAGCGGCCCAGGCGGCAGCAGCGGCGGGATATTCATCTTGCGTGGCAGTTGCTCCCGAGGGGCGGAGGCGGGGCGCGGCCACCCCCTTATCGCGGAGCCGCAGCCGGCGGGGCCCGTAGCGGGGCGGGGACAAGGATCCCCCTCGGGCGAACCGCTTGTCCCTGCCCCCTCCCAGGGGGTCCAGGCAGAGGTTCAGCCGGAGGCACGGGGCCAATTAGCATTTTGATTGCGGGACTAGGGGGCCCATCTGGACCGATGCCTAATTACCGAGCGGAACCCTCGGGCGCCAGCGGGACGTGCAAGGCGCAGTCCCTCACCCCGTGCTTCCCGCCTCCTCCCTCACAATCCGCCCCAGTGCTGCTCTCCGACCCGACCACATCCCTGTCCCCTTCTGTTAGTCCCAGTCACCCGGTCGCTGTGTCCATGTATTTTGATCCTCCGCCCCTTCCCTCATTCTTCCACTACCCTACCGGGTCCTTTGTCCCTCCCTCTTTCCTCATTCCCTTGTGTCCATCGCCCTTCTCTCTTCCTTGGTTTCTCTGTTCCTTTAGCCAACTTTTCGGTTCCTCCATTCCTGACTTACTGTCCCTGTCCCTGCGTCTTTGTCAATTTCCCCGACACCGCGACCCCCAACCCTCTTGACGGAAGGGGCGTCAGAGCACCAACACATGTGCCCCATGGTCGGGCGCTCCCGAGGGGCGACCCTTACTGGCACTCGCTCGGGTAGAGCCTGAAGCCCCTCGGGGCGCCCAGCGGGGAGGGGCAGCTGGGCCCCGGCCTTGGCTATCAGTCCGAAGCGGCCAGGGTGCAGAGCGCACATGCGGCCCAGGAGCAATTACTTGGTTTTATTTGCCCCGCCTCCTTTCAAACATCCCCGCCGCCACCCACCCACCCTGAGATCACTGTGCACCAGTCCTGGGGTCCAGCTAGGAGAGGCTGGGGAAGGACAGTTGGAGATACTCATGCATTTGGAAAGTTTCAGCCCTCTTCCACCGGAGGCCATCCTAAGTCTCTCCCCCTGAGAACTGGAGGTGTGGGGAGCTTTGTTGCAGAAGAGGAGACTGGGGTCCCAAGGCAAGGCTACTTCAACCTACAGTGGACCCAGTGGATTGTGGGGCACTCCAGCACCCCAGGTCTATGCATGGACCATCCCCCATAGAGCCTCCTGGCCTCTGGGACCCTGTTCCCCCTTAGTGGTTCACATTACAGCAGCTGGGCCCAGCACCTTTGTGGGGCAGGGAGGATTTGGTGCTGTTTCTATGTTCCTCTGCCTCCCTCTGCTCTGAGTGTGCTGCCTTCGCAACTGGGCAGCTCCCATGCTACCTGAAGGGGGAGACTCCCAGTGTTGTATTCCCAGCAACTTGCCACCAGCAGATCCAGGAGCCCTGTGTGTGCCCACCTTCTCACCACTCTCTGCCCTACCCACTGCTCCAGTGGGTGTATCTGGAGGCATTTCCGCCTTCACTCCACTAACCTATATTGAAGATCAGTCTGTGCTCTGTAGTGCTTGTTTGAGGCAGGGCAGCAGACACTGGTCTCTGTGCTCCTAGAGCCCACAGTCCAACCTGGACACTGATGTTAACCAGAAAGATGAATAGACCATTCTGAGAGCAGGAGTGGGGAGGACCTGGGGTAGAGACAAGCAATGGAACACTACTGAGACTGAACAACCTGTGCAAAGGTCTTGAGGCCACAGTGAGAGGTATGTGGGCAGAAACTCTGGGCCAGAGAGGGGCAGGTGCATGAGGGGCAGCACTAAGAAGTTGAAGTAGTGGAGGCAGGGGGCAAAGACTATGCCTGTTAGGGTATTATGGGCTTTGGCCTCCATTCCAAAAGTGATGGGATTGTATGTCTTTGAGAAGCAGCAGGGAGGCCAGTGGGGTTAAGCAGAGGGACTGAGTTTATCCAGGTCTGGGCTTTTGCCAAGTGAGCTACTGAGAGAGGCACCTGAGTCAAGGGGTGTGCAAGGGAGAGGTGGCATTGATTGTAGAATCTAAACCAGGTAAAGTAGGGGTGAGGACACATAATCGCAGGGGCTCCAGAGTGCTGGAGTCAGGAGTGAGCTGGGAGAGGGGTGATGGTCAGAGAACCAGGTCTTGAACTGAAGTGCCAAGTGGGGCTGGGGGCAGTTCCTGGAGGTGACAAGTTTGAAGGTACCATTGAGGCAGAGGATGAGGTCATTGGCAGGAAAGAGGTCAACACTGAGGGGCCGGGAGTCTAGGAGTGGTCCATGGGAAGATTGAGACCACCAGGAATTCAGACCTGACACGGCCATGGGGTGCGATGCCCACAGCCAGAGCTGGGATGAGTGGTGGGTGCAGCTGATGGATATGGCAGCTGCGACTCTTAGGGAGAGGAGGGGAGGGGGCTGCAGATTGCAGTGAGGAATGAGGGTGTGGCACTTCCAGGCCAGGGGGTGAGATGAGGGGAGAAAAAGTGGTCTCCAGAGAAGGCTGGTGGGAAAGCACAGGGTGGAGGGGCCATGGCTCCACTGGGAGAATGAAGGCTGAGTGACAGGGCTGAGGACGTGGTGCGGGGATTGCTGGTGCCTGGCTCCAGGGGAGGGCTTCAGGACAGGCGGGCTTTACTCCCAGGCAGATGATGTATGCTGAAAGGGGCTCATGGGGACAAGGGCTTGGGGCAGACTTGGTGGCTGCTGGGGTGGGAGCTTTGGAGCTTCAAGAGAGAGGCTAGATCCCGATGCAGTTACAAATACCTGCTTGACTGGGGAGGGCACAGCTCGGTGGTAGAGCACATGCCCAGCATGCACAAGGTGCTGGGTTCAATCTCCCACATCCCCATTAAATAAAATAATAATAAATAAGTAAATAAATCTAATTACCTCCCCTGCCCCCCCCCAAAAAAAACTGCTTGGAAAAGACCAGGAAAAACAAAGAGCAAATATCAAAGCAGCAGAAAATACATGCAGTCAATATAACAACGGTTAATACTCTGTTAGTAGAACCAACTGGGTTCAGTGAAGCTGGCATAGAACAGAGATACCTGCCGACACCTCCAAGGGGTCAGCAAGGGCTTTATTACCCAGGAAATGAGGCTTCACCAGGAAAGACACGCAAGTTAAAGCAACAAATGCAAATTCAGGATCTGGGATTGTTTCCCTTTTACTGTAGAAGACATTAGAGATGCACAAAAGTGCACAGAGTCAGATCACACGCCTGCCACTAGTGTCACCTAAGGCCAGCTCTCGGCCTGTTGGTCTGGTTTCCTCCCTGCCTCCTCTCCCTCCTCCAAGTCCCAGATGCCAAATCACAAAATGCCACTTTCCTCTCAGTAAATAAACAAAGACACGAGCGAGCGGCTGGCCTGGAGGTTGTAGGAGGGAACCGCAGCTCTCTGAGCCAGTCCAGCCCTACCTGGAGGCACCAGGAGGTGCGACGGGGCCCTGCGCCCTTCTTGGTTCAGGTAGGGTGTCCCATCCCCTACTGCCACTTCTAGGGCTTTTCTTTGCAGCGCACACGTGGCACATGGCCTGTATCACCCTCTGAGGAAGGACTTCGGCCCCATTACTTGAAGTGGACACCTTTAGCTATCAGAGGCTCCGGGACTGCCCCTGGCCCCACACCCCAGCCTCCTCCTGGTGGCCTGCGTCCCGTGGACGATGGACGGAAGTAAAGGTCCCGGGCGTTTTGGCCTGAGGCATGACACCTCTGCTGAGCCATGCAGACTCCAGTGCTCTCGGTGCCAGGGCTGGCCCGACACTCCTCCTCTCCTCCCTCTGCAAGGGTGATCTCAGTAGCACATCCTGCACACCACTGCCTGAGAGACTCCCTCTTGGAGAACTTACACTGGGGGTTGGGGACAGGAATGGTCCAGGAAGCCAAGCAACAGGGACTTGGGCATGTATGCTCACTGCTGTCACCGTGGCAGGTGGAGCACAGAGGAAGCAGACAGCAAGATGGTATATTCGAACCCAATCACATCACTCATATTCAATGTAAAGGATCTAAGCACCCCGTTAAAAGGCAGAGACTGTCACATATGGAAAAGCAGAACCCAAATACAGGCTGCCTACTACAAATTCATCTTACATGTGAAGACCTAGACTGGAACACAAGAATGGGAAAAGATATACCATATAAACATTAATAAAAGCTGGGTGGCTATATTCACATTAGACAAAATAAATTCCTGAACAAAGGCTATTGCCAAGGATTGAGAGGGTCATTTCAAAGAAGGTTAAACATAGGGCAAAGTGTATGCTAAAACCAGGCCTTGGCTGAGAGCCAAAAGGCCATGACATACGAATTTCTGGATCCTCCTAACCCTCTGGGCTGCAGAAGTGCCACCCACCTCTTCAAGCTCCAATCCTCCTTAAGGAGACATGGGCCGCTCCTTCTCCAGACCACAAGTTATGCCCTCAGCATCTGTCCCCACCTCCCATCACAAGTTGAAGTCACAGCCTAACCTGGGAGCACAAGCTGTGGGCCTGGAAGGAGAGAAGGTGCCAAATCCCACAGGAGCTATGCAGTGGGTCAAAGAGCATCCTCCCAAAGATACGCCTAGGGCAGGGGTCGTGCTACTGTGAAGACTGCCAGCACCCTGTCCCAGCCGCTGGACCACCTTCCTCCTTGGGAGCTGAGCCCGGGCATCTTTTCTGCTCCTTCAAAGCCCGGTCAGCTGACCGTCCTGCTCCCACCTGTCCCATCCCCTCCTCACTCTGCCCCCCAGTCTCCTGGGTATTGGAACATCCCACTCTGCCTCTCATCTCCAACAAATCCATCCACCCCTTGCACCCCCACACCCCTCGTGGGGGTGCCCTCAAGTCTCCATCTCTGCTTCCCTCTCCACTTCCCAATCTCTGCTTCCCTCTCCACTTCCCTCTCCCATCCTCCCACCACAACTTCTCAACCTCAACAGGACCTCAGCCTCTGGCCCAACCACTCCTCTCCACCTGCGGACATGGCTTTCTTGATGGCCTCCATTAATCATGACCCCTCTGCCCAGGTGTAGACCCCCTGTGTAGGCCCCTCCCATATTGACAGGTTTGGCCATGGGGCATCAGTGAGAGAGTGACAGAGGTTTGGCAAAAACGTGCCTCTGGGGTTTGACCCTCCCAGGCCCCCTTCTGATTGCCCACCCATGACATGAAGTGGGGCTGTCCATGGAGGGGAGGCCAGGCAGTGTGTCTCCGTAGCGGGAGGGGCCCTCTTGGGTGGACCAGCCCCAGAGGAACTGTAAGCAGATAGGGTGGGGGTCCCCCAGGGAAAGAAAACCAGGCATGGCTTGCATGACATAAGAAGCCATTTTTGACCTGAGCCATTCTGTGATCTAAGGCTGGCCCTTAAACAGGTCTCAGTAATTGAAGATCATAAGGGAAGTGAGGGAACGCAGGAACAGAGGAAAAGCAGCCAAGAACAGTAGTTCAGCAATAGAACAGGGTCCTAGTTCCTCCTCAAGGGATGTACATAACCTGATGCTTCTGCACGAACTAGGACCACCCCCCCGGGTGGAGGCTGGTGACTCCGCACAGAGCCCTGAGACTGGTCAAAACCCAGGGGAGGGTGACGCTGATCTCTTCTGACCCTCGAGGGTTCAGTCGACTAAAGCTTGCACCCTGTGGATCTCTGCCCGCCTCTGCGCTGAATTCTCCTCTTCTCGGGCCCCTGCATGAACACGCACTTGCCCTTGGCCTAAAACTTCCCCAGTTTTGCTGTTGGGGGACACTGCTTCGGGAAGAGTCCCTGGTGTTCCCCTTGCTTGTGCCAAGTAACAGCTCCTTCCTTCTGACCTGTGGCTCGGCTGTGTCTTTTGGCTTGGTACCCGTTGTGTGGTCAGGCCACTCAGGATGGCTGGCACCTT